AAGTGTCTAGGGATAATGGGATCAAAACTAAAGAACACATGATCAAAGGGTAAATTCACAGCTACTGGTGATCACAAGTACTTTTATCCCCTTGTGGAGTCCTTATGAAGTCTCCTCAGGTGTAACTACTTGCTGGATTCCAGTGCCCTAGTAGAAACCTGTGCCTCTCAAATCTTAATGCAAACCCTGCTGTCAGTCACTCATGGTCCAAGGGCACTGCTACTGGCTCTGGTGGATGCTGCTCCCACTGTTAATAGGCATTCCAAATCTTCTTTTGACATTCACATTAGTAGGGCAGGAGAGGGAAATGCAAGGAAAGAAACTCCCTCCTTCCCCTCCCAATTCTCTCTTAGGAGTCCTTCACCCAAGGACTCAACACTTTCCAATACACCTGCTGCTAGAATCTTCAATTTGATACTGACTTGCTGGAACTGGGAGTTTGTCTGATTCTTTCAGCCAATCACAAGACATTTACTACGCAGCGTCATCTATTTTCATCCAATAAATAAAGCACGCCATGCTCCTCTCCAACTGATTGAGGACTTGTTCATTCCTAATTTTTTTCCCATAGGAAATTGCTTCCTAATAGAGTCAACCCAGTGTTCTAAAATGTGAAGATCTTTTTAGTATTCTGATTCTGTCAACTATTATGCTATCTATCCTTCCTGGTTTTATATTATCTTCTAACCTTATGAGGATGCAGTCTATGCCCTTATCTAAGTCACTGATAAAATTAAAATAACATGCTACTGGAGACCTCATATAAGGTCTACAATATCACTTTTTGATTCCAGCCATTCAGACTCTTCTAAAGCCCTCTAATTGTATTATCCCTCTCATCCATCTGTCTCCATCTTTATAGTGGTAATAGAATAAAATGCTTTAGTGAATGCTTTACCAGAATCTAGGTAAACTACATCAAGAGCATTTCCCAGATTTATTGGCTTAATAACCCTGTCCAAAAAAAAGGATATAAGGTTAGTCTGATGCAAGATCCATTCTTAATGTGACTATGATAGCTCTTTGAAAGTGTCTCTTCCATTTTTGCTGTTAAGTCATTTCAGTTATGTCTGATTCTCCATGACTCTATTTGGGGCTTTTTTGGCAAAGATACTGGAGTGGTTTGCCATTTCCTTCTCCAGCTTATTTTATAGATGAGGAAACTGAGGCAAACAGGGTTAAGTGACTAACCTAAGGTCACACAGCTAGTAAGTATTTGAGGCCAGATTTGAATTCAGGTCCTCCTAACTCCAGGGCTGGTGCTCTATCCACTGGGTCCCTAGCTGCCCACTTCCATTTTTAGATATTCCTTACCATCTCTTTAAAGATCCATTCTAAATTTCCTTGGGAAATTAGCTCACAGGACTATAGCTTCCTCATTCTAATCACTTCCCTTTCTTAATTATTATGACATTTGCCTTTCTCCATTCATGCTAATTCTGAAGAGTCTAGTGTTCCTGGGTGTTGTTCTCTGCCTACTTTGTTATATGTGACTTTTTTGGTTCTATGAACTACTTAAAGTCTTTGGCAGAGAAAACATGAAAAGGTTTGTGGATTATTCATGATGATCATACTGGAGGGATCACTGTAAACTTATTTTAGGATTCCCAAGGCACTGTAGGTCATGCAAATATTGTTACATCTATTTTATAAATGAAGACTCAGGCTAGGGGAGGTTAAGTGACTTGGCCCTGGTCATACAGTTAGTCTCAGGGCCCAGATGTAAACCCACATATCTCACCTCTACCTCCAGTGCTCATTCCTACTACTCCATACTACTTTAACGCAAAAGATCAGCAACAATTGTGTCCTTTTATTTTTTTTCCGATTAACAAGCAATTGTTTTTCTCTCTCTCCCATGCCCTCCCCCCCCACTGAACAATAAAAAAAGAAAACCCTCACAACAAATATGCATAGTAAGAATAAAACAAATTCCCACATTGTCCATGTTCAGAAATGTGTGTCTCATTTTGCATGTTAAGTCCTTCATTCCTCTGACAGGAGATGGGTAGCGTGCTTCATCTTCGGATCTCAGGAGTCATGGTTTATCATCGCATTGATCAGCAGTTATGCCACTGACTACACCTTCAAAACCATTTCCTATGCTCTTGGATATATTGATGCTAAGTCCATGATGCCCCAAAAACAACACACTAAGGGGAAATGAGCAAGGTGCCTAGTAGATGCGCACAGAGGAATGTCATAGAGAAACATAGGAGGTTATCACCTGGAATCTGAACAAAGCCTTTGGGTTGGTAGTCAGTAAGTGAAGTAAAACAAAGGAAGATAAATCCAAGTGAATGGTCCTATATTCAGGCAGCCTCCTGCCTGCAGGGGGTCTGTTTCATCACAAATTCTCCATGCACTAGGACCCTCAATTTACCCATGAGCTGTTCCAAACTCTCCCTGCAGCACTACCTGAGGAATATCCTGTCTTCACAGGTCTGGCTTTTGGTATTATTCTGGACCAGGTCTAGCTTAGGCCAATCCAATGATTCAGGCTTAGGAATGAATGCAATAAAACACTCACGTATTATAACATTCCAGAAAATAAATTTACAGCACTCACAATGATTGAAAGAATAAAAAGAGATGTTGCTCCTTTCTGTCTCCCCATTCACCAGAGCAGCTACATTGAATCTTGTATTGCAGTCAGTGACAAGGAAGACCAATAGGTCAAGTCTCACTTATCTACCAATTCCATCTTCCAACCAGTTCCCGAGGTCGATCTCCTTCCCATCTTAAAAGGAAACCTGCTCTTACAATAAGTGTAAATTGCCAGACTTAGGCCGTGCTCCTCTTGGTTATGGAATGGTCAGGTATAAAAGGGTTTTTAATAGTGATTTGGTGATGATCACTGGGCTCATTATAGACTATCTTTGGAGGGTTAATGGCAAAAATAATTTAAAACAAAAATAAATAAATAAATAAATGAGATTTTTTTTTAAAGATAGCTTAAAGGGGCAGCTAGGTGGCACAGTGGATAGAGTACCAGCCCTGAAGTCAGGAGGACCTGAATTCAAATCCAACCTCAGACCAAACACTTGACACTTACTAGCTGTGTGACCTTGGGCAAGTCACTTGACCCCAATTGCCTGGAAAAAAAAAAAGATAGCTTAAAACACTATTTCTTGGGACAATTTGTTTCACCAATAGAAAATGTGCTTTCTCTCTTGGGACCTTCTCATGCTTGACTGAATTCAGAGTTATTAAATTTCAAGGTCAAATTATTAAATGCTCACGACCTCTAGAAGAAGCCTTGGTTCGCATGGCACAGACCTAAGCAGGAACCAAGTAAAGGAACCACAAGATTACATGTAAATGTCTTCACCAAATTTGTATCTTTTTGTTTCCTTTGCGACTCTAACAATGGGCTTAAAAGAGGAGGGAATTCTGGGTTGCCTTGGCTGCTGACCATACTGATTAGAAATCCTCAGGCTTCCATTCAACTCTAGAATTCTAGGATGGTGCTACTCTATATCTGGTAAGATTTTGATGTTCTCAGAGAAAAGATGTCATAAAATTACAAAGAAAAAGTGGTGTTGTACAAAAAAAAAAAAAGAAAAAAGAAAAAAACACTGGATAAGAGAGTCAGAGATTTGAGTTTCACACACCTTTACCCAAAATTAGAAAGAGGACTGCATCTGAATTCAAAGGACCTAGATTGAAATTGACCTTTACCACTTACTGAATAAGGTGAAGAAGTCACCTCTGGAGCTCAGTTTCCTCTTTTCTAAAATAAAGTACTGAACTACATGACCTCTGATGCCTCATCTGTATCCATTATCCCACGACTCTACAACCCAAACATGACACAAACTAGCTGTGTGGCAATGAGATGACTCTCCCTCTCTTAGCCTTAGACTCTACATTTATTAAATGGGAGACTTTAACTACAGGATCTTTCATGTCCATCCCAGCTCTAATATTCTATGATTGATGCTTTTAGAAATGACAAAACTCTCAAAAGTCATTCATTTCTTCTCAAGTCATTGCTTATATCCTGTTCTTTTCTGTGATAAAGGCAAAGTGTGGAGCCCAGAACTTATCCCTATAGTATTTTTGCCCCCACAAGACAGCTGTGCATGTGGGGAAACACAGAGATGGCAGGAACTGAGACATGGAAAATGAAGCTTAATTTCTTTGGGGAAAAGGAGAAATCATAAGAACCTGAATCTCAGAAGGCAGCAGGGGCTTATGCCCACAACTGAGGTTTAATGACCACATAGCCTTTTTTCTCAAAATTAGCCTCCTCCAGTCAGGATATTAGGACTAAAGGTCCCACCAAGGTACACGGTATTAATCTCTTCTGGTGACAACACCAAGTCCCACATGTACACATCTCCAATGTCTCCCACTAGGGATTGATTCTCATCAAACCCTCCTCCAAAGGAATCCTGCTCTTGCCCAAGGATAATCTTCGATTGTTTCTCCACAACATACCCCTGCCTTAGGGCCTTCCTCACCATGGGCTTCCCATCTACCCAGAGTTCAGCAATGCCTGACTCTGACTCCCAGGTGGCACAGAAGTGTCTTGGAGCAGGAGTAGCCACAGGAACCTGGAACATTACCATAACATTGCCTACAGACAAGCTGAACTTGCTGTCCCCTTCATCAAAGAGGAGGATCTCATTATCCAGTGCCCTAGTGGCAAAAGAGAAAAGGTTATAGCTTCTGGTCAGGTCAGTGTAGACTTTTAGGCACACTGTGAAGGCCTTCAGGGGTTTCTCTAGCTGTGGTATTAGGGTCACGTAGGAATCCTGAGATTGTCTTGGGAACACAAAGGCTTTCCCACTCAGGTCTGTAGGAAAGGAAGAAGGGCAGAGGAAGAAAATCAAGTTTCAGACAATTCACAAATTAGTTCCCTCACTTACATATAAAATCAACAACAGAAAATTCAGTACCTTTCCCACACCCCATATGAAAAATGCATCTGAATTCTCTTTGTAAAGCCTCCTCTCCCATATCACATCTCAGATACAGCTGTAGATAGCCCTTACCTGTCTGTGCAAGAGCATTTGAGAGACTCACGATGACCAGAAAGCACAGGGGCAGCTTCTCCATGTTCATTCTCCACTTCTGTTCAATCAGGCCGTGGGGAGGAGAGAACATCTATGGCTGAGATCCCCAAGTGGCTCAGGGAGCTCTCTCTTTGCAAAGATCTACTTGGTGTGGGTTTATATACACACCAATCAGGACGACAGCAAAAATGTGTAAATGATTTTCCAAAACCACCTTTGAGGTTTAGGAGTCAGAGCTATAGAGGCAGGATCACCTCTGAGCTGGGAAATCGATGTGAGTTATTTATTAGAGAGATGGTTGAAATTTACCCTTGATGGGGGTACAAGTTGAAGAGGTAGGAATGAAAGCAGCATTGGGTCCTGGTGGGAAGAGTCTCAGGGCCATAACTTTGACATATAGGCAGGAAAACCGGGCTGCTCAGGCCTCATCAAAGGTTATAAGGAACAGTAAAGAGCACAGCTCCCTAGTGGCAAGAACATACCTTCAATCTAGGAGCTACCACATCAAGGAATCCAAAGTAGTGTTGTGAATTGGGCAAGCAGTCTTGAGGTGGAGATCTGATTTTCTTCCACTCTGAAGGAGATAAAAAATAAAATTGGAGAGATGTCAGAGCCTCTCATCTGGCACCCTAGGCTGGCCTAGGCTGCTGTTGCAGAATCATAGAAGGTCAAAGTGGGAAAGGACTTCATTAGTTATCTAATCCAACCCAAAGGCACAAATGAATCTCTTCTATAACACACATGCCAAGTAGTTATCCAACTTTTGTCTAAGGACCTGGCATGATAAAGAACCCACTATATCCCAAGGTGACCCATTCTACTTTTGAGAGATCTTTCCAGTCATCACACCTAAGTTGGCCTCTTTGTAACCCTTACCAATTGTTCCTAGTTTACCCCTCTTTGGGGGGGGGGGGAGAAGAAAAGAAGTCGATCTCCCTTCACTTATCCATTTGATTTATCCATCAGATATCCATCCATCAGATTTATCCACCTGACATTTGATCCCTCTTCAAATACCTGAACCCAGCTATTCCCCACTCCTACTCCCAGCCAGTCTTCTGCAGACTAAACATTGCCACTTCTTTAATGCATCCTCATAGTGAAGTTTAGGACCTTCACCATTCTGCTTGCCCTCCTCTAGACACTATCCAATGTATTGATATACTTCCTAAACTGTGGTTCTGAGGACCAAATGCAATATTCCTGGTTTGGCTTTCACTGGGCAAACTAGGTGTTTGCCCATTTTGATGCAACTAAAATAAACTTTTTGGCTGCCACTATCATGTTTATGACTCATATTGAGCTTGTGGTCCACTAAAATCCCTAGACGTTGTTTTGTGGGTTTTTGGTTTTGTTTTCTTTTTGCTAGGCAATGGGGTTAAGTGACTTGCCCAGGGTCACACAGCTAGTAAGTGTCAAGTGTTTGGTCTGAGGTCGGATTTGAATTCAGGTCCTCTTGAATCCAGGGCTGGTGCTCTATCCACTGGACCACCTAGCTGCCCCCCTAGATGTTTTTTAAGACAAGCAATGACTTCCCTCCCTTGCATTTAAGCAGCATTTTTAAGTCATTTTGTAAGATTTTAGATTTATCCATCTGACATTTGATCTTAATAGATGCAGCTAAATGTTCTAGCCCTTCAATATCATCATTTGCAAATTTAATGAGCATTGGATGGGCAGCTAGGTGGCACAGTAGAGTGCTGGAACTGAAGTCAGAAATACCTGAGTTCAAAGCTGGCCTCAGATACTTACTAGCTGTATGACCCTTGGAAGGTCAATTAATCTCTGTTTGCCTCAGTTTTCTTTTCTGTAAAATAAGGATAAAAATAGCACCTACCTTTCAGATTTGTTGTGAGGATCAAATGAAATGATAATTATTAAGAGCTAAGCACAATACCTGGCACATAGTAAGCACTATATAAATGTTAGATATTATTATTATTATTACCCCATCTATGCCTTTCTCCAAGTCATTGATCAAATGTTAAATAGCACAGGGCCACTGGTGTGCCACTAGAGAATTCCTGCTAAATTGATATTGAGTGATTAATGACAACTTGTTGAGTCTGGTCATTTGACCAGTTATGAATTCATCTCATTGAGTTGTCATTTATTCCACACTTCTTTATCTTTAAAATAAGAATCATAAAATACTTTATCAAATATTTTGTAAAAATTAAATAAAACTATAACTCAGTATTCTACTAATCTACTAGTTTAATAATAATGCCCTCTCCCCCCAAAAAAAGAAGATGAGGTTAGTCTAGGGACTATTCTCTTTGAAATCCCACTTCCATTTCTAGGTTCAGCAAGCATCTGGTTTTTTTTAAACAATCCATTAAAGAATGTCCAAGTTAGGGTCTATTTTCCCTTTGGGGCTTTGATCTTTCTTAGGTAGAACTCAAGCTCTTTGCTCTCCAGCACGTAGCCGTCTGTTCAGCCACACTGGCCTGGCCTTGGTGCGATCCAGGCAAGGACCTTGCCCTACTTAGCTCCAGAAGTGAACTGATCTTGGCATTCTTCTTCCGTTCCTCATATTTCTTCTGGATCTTCTTTGACCGCTTTTTATCTAAAATTTCTTCCTCCTCAGGATTCAGCTTTGCTCCCTTCTTCCAGCCCAAGGGCAGGGCATGGTGGGACTCATACTACTGGCAGCACCGGGTGCTATCGATGAACACGATGCAATTCTTCACCAGTGTCTTGGTCCGGACCAGCTCATTGTTGGATGCATTGTAGACCACATCAATAATCCTTGTTTGTGGGTACAGCACTCGGAGCCCCAGTAGAAGTGCCCATGTCCAGCCTCAGTGCTCAGTACTTTTTGTTGCCTCCTCAGTGTGAATGCGGCGGGGGCCAATCTTGGTGTTGGCAGGCGGGCGGCCCAGCTCATACATGTGCTTCTTACCATAGGGCTTGCTCTTACCCCTGGTCTTGCGGCACTCATGCCAGTTGTCCCGGGAGATCCCCATGGTTGGCAATAGCTCAAGCATCTTTTTAAAAGGATCTTGGGCCCCTGAAGGAGTGGAGGCTTAAGGATCCCTTCCACAAATGGCCTCAGTTCTAAGTTCATCTAAAGTAGATTGAGTCCTGGGGGAGAACTTCCCTACCACAAAGAGAAGACTGAGTCTTTTTCTGGTATACTCTAGCTCTTATTAATCCGTCTCCAGAGTTCTACTGAAAACCTCTTAAAATCTAGCTTAGGTTTGACTTATGTTTAGGATCTCCCCTAAAAGGCATTAATAAGTTCAAGTAGAAAGGTACTTGTATACAAAACAGTAGAAATCAAGTATAGGACAGCTATTTATTTCCTTCACCATAAAAGAAATGCTTAAAACCAAAAGAATCATAAACATGCATTAACAAATTCTGAAACTGTGAAACAGTAACCCATTAATCCTAAAATATTTGTCCAGGATAAAGGGAAAACTTGTTGGATTCAAGGAAGCAAACTAACTCCGAGAGAGAAAAAATATATGAGTAACTCTAAGGACTTACAAAAACCTCTAAACCAATACAGAAACTCAGCACTGCTATTATGCTCACCCAACAGCTAAAGACTGCTAGGAGACTTGTGTTACTCTTGAATAGATTTCATTTTCACCTTGGTCTGTACTATCCAAGCAACAGCTCAGGGTCCAAGTTACTCGGCCAGTTAGGTCCTGGCTTAGGCTTTAAGATTCCAGGATGATCTTCTCTGTGGCGATCTCCTCTTCTAATAAGTAGCACAGATGGCGGAGTAGAGACAGCAACTCAGCTGAACTCTCCTAATGTTCCCCTCCAAACAGCTTTAATATAACATGTCAAATCCAATTCTGGGGTGGCCTAGCAAACAAAAGGTCACAGAGTGACATTTTTCTAGCCCAAGACTACTTAAGAGGACAGAAGGAGAGGTATGTGACAATGGGGTGGGGGCCAGCCCAAAGTGCATGCATCAGCAATACTAGCAATGGACCTTGGAGGTGACTGCAATGGCAACACCAACAGCTTCAGGAGTTCTCAGTCCTAAGATGGTTCAGTGACTGGACAAATGGTCAGAAAGATATTACCAGGGACCATGAGCTTGCAATAGGTACAGGGTTGGGTGCTGTTTGGCAAATCTGTAGACCATATGCAGTTCTGAGTCACAGTTCCAGAGCAGAGAGGAGAGGTTGTAGCTGCAGGGAAGCAGGGGCCCTGGTTGCTGTTCCAAGGTGGACAGGAAGCTTGTGACTGAAGGGGAGCAGGGGTCATTCCTGGGCACAGACCATGAAAGCAGGGACCATACCTCTCCCAGGACCACTTTGTAAGTATCAAAAACTTACAGACCCCCAGAACTAGTTCAGAAAACAGAAGCATGAAAAAATCTGAAGCTTGGGACAGTGTCTCCCCATCCCCAAGTGAGCAGAGCTCAATTTTAACATAAAGTTCAAAGTCAATAAAAAGGCTGGGGAAAATGAACAAACAACAATAACAAAAAGGAAATGATCATAAAACCCTGCACTATGATCATGAGGAAGATCAATACACAAGCTCAGAAGATAAAAGCATGAAAACAGCTAAAGCAAATCCTCCAAGAAAAAATGAAGATTGAACACAAACCCAGAAAGAATTCCTGAAATAGTTGAAGAAAGAAATGAATGGTAGAGGAAAATTTGGGGAAAAATAATGATGATGCAAGAAAATTATAAAAAGAGAATTAACAATTTGGTAAAATAGCACACACATACATAAAAAAAAAACTCAAAAAAAATAACACCTTAAAAAAAGGTGTGGCCTAACAATAGAAGAGGCACAAAAATTCAATGAAGAAAAGAACGCCTTAAAAAGCAGAATTGGCCAAATGGAAAAAGAGGTACAAAAGCTCACTGGAGAAAATAATTCCTTAAGGATTAGAATTGGGAAAGTGGAAGCTAATGACTCCATGAGACATCAAAAAACAATAAAACAAAGTCAAAAGAATGACAAAAGAAAAGAAAATGTGAAATATCTCATTTCAAAAACAACTGACCTAGAAAACAAATTATGGTGAGGTGATTAAAGAATTACTGAACTACCTGAAAGCCATGATCAAAAAAAAAAAAGCCTATACATCATATTTCAAGAAATTATAAAGGAAAATTGCCCTGATATCTTAGAACCAGAAAGAAAATAGAAATTGAAAAGAGCTGATTTGGGGGGGGGGGCAATAAAACAGATATACTGTTAGTTAAGTTGATTTTTTTAAAAAAGAAAAAAAATACTAGTATCAAAAATGAAAAGGGTGAATGTACCACCAACAAAGATGAAATTAAAGCAATTATTAGAAGCTATTTTGCCTAATTATATGACAATAAAACTTATTTACAAAAATAAAAATTGCCCAGATTAATGGAATAACTAAATAACCATATATTAGAAAAAGAAATTGAACCAGCCATAAATGAGTTCCCTAAGAAAAAATCCCCAGGACTGGATGTATGTACCAAACATTTAAAGGACAATTCATTCCAATACTATATAATCTGTTGAAAAATAGGCAAAGAAAGAGTCCTAATGAATTCCTTTTATGCAAAAATATGGTTTTGATGCCTAAACCAGAAAGAGCAAAAACAGAGA